CTGAGATAAAAGCCAGCTCTTGGCTTTCAGATGGCTCCAGGTTGCACCAACCCTTCAAAGGGAGGCACCACAGCGAACACTGTGCTGGAGCATCGCCCCGAGGGCAGGGATGCAGGCGCCCGCTGGGGACCAGCAGATGCTTAGGGCATCCGCACCTCCCTCCTCTGAGCGCATGGAGACCCAGGACCAGACTTGCCAAATCCAGACCACGGCTAGCGTTAGTTTGTACACCCTGCATGGCTGGAACGACGCTTTCCATCTCTCCCGCGAAGTTAAGCTCGCTGAGGGAGTCAGCAGGCAATCAGCAGCTGCTGTTTTGCCGACGGAAGGTGCACACACACGCGCGCGCGCACGCTACAAAAAATAAACAGAGATGCAACAAATCTCTTATGCAGAAAAACATATTATATACCGCTGATTCCACCCCCAGAGCAGCGCAGGGCTGAATGTAATCAAAAGTCCTTAAAGCTCAGGGTCACAAGTGACAGCTTTTATTTACAGTGCGCAGCAGCCGTCCCAGCGTGCAGATTAACTGCAGCACGGCCAAGGTTGGAGCAGAGAGTGCGGCTGCCGCCGGCTCGCCCGTGCCCGAGGACGCCGTGGCTCGGGGGAAGCTGCGGCTCTCCCCAGGGTAACAACCAGCAGAAACCCCTCCTGGGCACACGGGTGGAAATCAGTGGACGCCAGAGCCCAACCCCCAGAGGAATTATTCCTGGCACCCAACCGCCTGCTCGGGAAGCCCGAGGCTGTGTCGAAGCACCAGGGCTGGCTCCCTCCTCCACCCGCAGCACTGAGGCACGCTTTGGGTTAGGAGGGCGTTGGTTTGCTCTCTCTCCTTGGGGCAGCGAGAGAGGAGCGATACCACTACACACCTCAGAGAAAACGAAGACAAGCTGCCCTGCTCTGAACTCCGCCAGCGAAGCGCTTCCTTACGGCTCCATCCCACTGATTAACGCAGAAACCATCTCCCCTGCTAATGCAAAGAAACTCATTAGCACCTCTTCCCAGGGAGAAAAGCCTCATCTTTTTTTTTTTTTTTTTTTTTTTTTTTGTTCTTCTCCTTTCAGGTCCAATTAGTACAAAAATCTTAACTCGCCCACCCCTCCAAAGCTGGGGACGGAGCGCGGGGCTGCGAGCACCGGCTGGGCAGGGAGCATCGCCACAGGCCCCAGCCGCCATGGGGGAGGGAGCACACGGTGGGCTCACATGGCCCTTTGGTTTCTCGGCTTTGGCAAGACGTTCCTCCCGTTAGTTAGGTGTTACAACAAGACAGAAGTACTGTTGGCTGTGCAGCTTTAATCCCTGTTGAGGTTTCTGCCGCGTTCCCAAAATTAAAGCAAAACACAGCTTCTTCAGTAGCACCGAGAAAAGTGGGATTCACACCTCTGAGTGACAAACCTGCATTTTTCTAGGAGACCCTTCTCCCTGGAAACCCTAACATATGAAGTCAGAAAAGCACGCACGACCTGCTCCATACAGCCGCTCTGCCTGTGCAGGCGGGACCCATCCTGCCCTCTCCGGTGGGGATCTGCAGGGAGAGACCCAGCCCCACCACTGCCCCCGAGAAGAGGGATCTGCCAAGAACCCCCAGCCCCAGGGAAGACGAGGAGGAAGATCTCATGCCACAGCTTGGCATAGCCCTGGTCACACCGCAGCTCATGGTAGGGAATAATTAAGCCACTCGTTATCTAGCAATGGCTGGAAATTCTGATGGTGACACCTGTGACCAGGATGCTGAAGGCAGAGAGCGGCTTGCTTAATTCCGAGGCTTCCCCCTCATATCTTGGGCAGAAGTTTCTGCTGCTCCAAGCGAGCCCCCTGCTCAGGCGAAGCCCCCGCCGGGCGCAGGACCCCTCACCCCAGGGCTCTGCCTCACCTTGGTGGCACCCACAGCACGGGGGGCTCACCCCAGCAGTGCACCCCCAGCCAAACCCCCTCTTCAGAACCCCTGGACCCCTTGGCGCTGCCCCGGCTGAGCAGGGAGGGCTGGTACCTTCCCGAGGAGCTAAAGATGCTCCCCCAGTAAAACCGATTTCCAAAGGAAGAAAAGCCGAAGGACCCGGCACCTCTGAAGCTAGAAGCCAATAGATACCTTTTTGACGCATTTTTTAATACCACGATCCTCTTTATTTCCCTAGTATCAGTAGTTTATTTTCCAAATATATTTAGACCAACATCCTTCTTTGTTTAAGAGATGATGATAAACAAACACAATGTGAGCGGTTCTCCCTAACATAAAACAGTAGGAGGGAAAAAACCTAGGGGGCCATTAGGAATTGTAATGCCAGATTAATTTTAAATGGATTTCTATTCATTTACATTTGCTCGGGCCTACATAATCCATTAGCCATAGCTTTGCGTGTATCTAATGGTTTGACAGCCTCGAAAACGAGCGGCTGATCCTGGAGTCCGCTGGGACCAGTGGACGGACTGGGAGAGGAGGTGGAGAGCGGCTGGAGGGGTGTAGGGGCTGCCCCCCCCCAACGCAGCTCTGTCCCATCCCAGGGCGCTTCGCAGAGACCAGCCGGCATCAAAAGGAGCGGAGACAGTCCCGAAAACAAGGGCAGGAGGCAGGCAGCTCCATCCCCGCGATGTCCCCAGCCCTTACCCGGGCTCCCAGCGGCTCTCCCCGAGCCGAGCAAGGTCACGCATGCACAGGAGCACAGCTGCCACGCTGCCTGGCCTTGGGGAGGTCCCCGCGGTCTCCGCCGCCAGCGAGGCTCAGCGACCGCCGCAAACCCCGCCGAGAAAGCCAGATGCACCGAAATAAGGCTCAGCACCTCTCGCACCACTCCAAAGCAAACACAGCGAAACCCCAGCGACCGCCCTCCCCAACCACAGCCGCCCGCTGTCACAAGCAGCCTCGCACGCTTCAGCCAGAAAACCCGGTGCCAAATTCTGGGATTACAGAGAAAAAGAGCTGCGATGCGACAGTTTCGTTATTAGATAGACACAAATTAAAACCAAAACGTGCTCTCGCAGCAGCAGCCTCCAGCGTTACCACCCCAGAGCTGGATCCGCATCGTGATGCAAACGGCGAGAGGGGCACAATTACACAGCGCCTGCAAACGGGATTAACTTAATGGAAACGGAGTTGTACAATCAAAAAACTATTTCCATGTCCCCCCCAAAATTATGAGTGCCTTACAAAGATGATAATAATGAGTTTCAGGGCATACACATGATCTTCCCCGCTGTATAATCTGCCCATTTCAAAACGATGTAGCTCTAGCAGCTCTATTACAGAAGTAAATTAACCCTAATTTGATTGCTTCTCCGTAGCAGTTGTTTCAGTGCTCTAATCAATAAGTCACAGGATTTTATGACTGGCCTTGGTATCAATCACTGCAATCAGTAATAAAACACTTTTCATTTTAAGAACACCTGAAATACCGTGTAATTACCTTTGTATAAAATTATGGACTCCAATTTACCACCTTCACCAAGCCACTGCTGCAGCCCGCAACATCTCTCAGCACCTAAAGCCTATTTGCAGGAAAGAACATCACTTTCTAAAGGCTTTCTGAGCCGTCCCTCATCTCTTCCACTTGTCACTGTACCAGCAAGTTATTACTCACACCCCGGTGAAATAGCAGGTTACAAGAGAACACCCATCTCCCAGAATCTCCAAGATCCGAGATCCTGCTGAGAAAAGATGGTTGGGAAGATGCAACATTGGTGCGTGGCATCACCACCAGCTCTTCACCGCACCCACCCGTCACCACCGCGGTGCCGAAACGGAGCCAAAAGCCATCGCACAGCGAGACAACGCAGCTGGTGCCCCAACGCAGCATGTCCCCAGTCCCGAGGGCTGAGCCTCCCCCAGGAGCCTGTGGCACCGGCCAGACGTCTCAGGAGGCGGCGAGATTGTGGTTTGAGGGAAGCAGATGGTTGGGGAAAGGCTGAGGGAGAGGGAGCACCTGATCCTCAGGCCAGAGACCCAAGCCAGGCGTGCTGCTGGCTGCTGCTGTGGTAGTGATAGCTGAGAGAAGCCACCGTGGCTTTGGCAGCATCCGCAGGGCCCCCTCGCTGGCCCGTCACAGCCGGCTGTTAAGGTTGCTTTGATGCCACGTCTGTAATGTTATCATACCCATTCCTCTGCTGTCCCACCCCAGGGATGCCCACTCCGCAGCCCGGGGTGCCCGTGCCAGCCCCACAGCCCCCCTTTCCCCAGGGGCTGCCTGGACCACGGCATCCCCAAGCATCCCTCCCAGCCCCCGCTCCCCAGCAAGGTACCGCTGGGGAAATGCGGCCGAGAAAAGGCTGCAAGAGACCCGGCCGGCACTAAGACATTCCCACCTGGCAAAGGATGGTCTGCCCACACCAGGGCACTACAGAACACAAGCTGTCTCCCCTTCTGCCCCCCATTCCCCACATAATCCCCTCTGCCAAGCAGGTTCCCGCTGTCCTTGCTGGTGCCACACCGCTCCGATGTGCCTCGGGGCTGCTCCGGCAGTGGGATGCTCAGGTCACTGCCAACAGAACAGTTATCCTCTGAAGAGCTCAGAGACCCCTCAGCACGATGTCTCCTCTCCGCGCCAGAGGGAGCAGGGCCACCCCGGCACTGCACCCCCACGTCGACACCCCAAAGCTGTGCTCAGGAGAAGTTTCCAGGGGATTCTGGTTTGTGTCAGTTTTGGTTTTGTTTGGGTTTTTTTTTTGAAGAAACACTGAAACTGACTTAGGGAAATATTTTCACAGGGCAGATGCTCAGGCCTCAGCAATTGTTCTTACAGGAATCATCCCCAGAACCCAGAGCAGAGGATGTGCTCACCCGTCCTTGTGCAATGCAGCAATGAAGAGGTCGCTGCCATCAGACGGTTGCCCAGCCCCGAGACAGCCCGGAGGTGCCCCAGAAGGAGCTGACGCAGGTCGGGACGACAAGGTTTAAGTCCTTGGAGCAACATTTTGTTACTCCTCTGCAAAAGCCTTCACTCACCTGCCGTGGGCAGGGGCCGAGGAGAACCCCCCAGGGACAGAGGAGCCCCTCAGGCACTTACCCTGAAGTCGATTCCAACTGTGGAAATGAAGCTGCCGGCGAGGAAAGCACCGTCTTTGAACCGCACCAGCAAGCAGGTTTTGCCGACCCCCGAGTCACCCACCAGCATCACCTGCAAAGGAGGGAGGGGAGCGTTAGGCACCGGGTTTTGGGAAGGAAGCCCCACCGCAGCCGTTACCCGTCTCCATCCCAAAAGCCCCATCCCGGGAGCAGGCAGCAGAGCCTGTACTCTTGAGGGGAAAAAAAGCACATCCAAGAACGATGTCCTCAGACCCAGGGGAGGGTGGGGGAGAGAAGAGGGGGCCCACAGCAGGATTATTCCCCACCCTGCACCATGCGTGTCCCTGAGCACTGGCCGAACTCGAGACACCTTCCCCTGACCACTACTTAACAGATCCCCCATGGGGGCACAAACACCCCTTGAAAACCAAGAGGTGCAGTCTAGGTGACGCAAGCTGCGACGTGACGGCTGCGGGGCCCACGCTGTCCCCAGTGCACCC